AAACCATAATCTCCTAAAATTAAACGTCACCTAAACTGAATAAAAAAATAAAAATTGAAATAAATTTATGAAAGAATATTGAATAATCTGTAACTTATTATTTGTGATCGTTTCCAATAATTATCTTTATTAGACTTTCCCTGTAACAATTTGTAATGCTCATGAGAAAAACTCACTTTAGTTCTTTTTCTAACGATTAAATCGTATTACTCAGATAGTTGTTGCAACGGTGAAATTGTATTGAAGTAGTCCCAAAAGTAATCAAAATAATAGTGAAAAACTATCACAAAAAATGGATTTTGTATCAGACATTAAAATATTATTTTTTAAATTATTCCCATTTAATTCGAAGTAATTATTTTAATGTCTCAAATAAAATCCATTTTTTGTGACAGTTTTCATCATTGTTTTTGTTTCCGTTTGAACCTCTACCTGGGTAGCAGCTGGGTTGTGAATAGAAATAAAATGGTTGTATAGGCTTTCTCTTACCTTGAAATATCTATTAATAGATGAAAGAAAGAAGCTTCTAGAATATATTTCTCTCTCTTTTTTTTCTTGTCTTCACGAAGATTAGTCGACCATGGCTATACTGTGTTGGCGTTTAAACATGTCCTTTATATGCCTCAGAGATAAAAACGTAATTATAAAAAGAAAACGAATCTGTTTCTTTACACAGACGTCTTTCGTCTTCGTAGAGAGAGACGAAGAAATATGTTACTTTTTCATGGTTTTCTATTTACCGTTAAGTTATACTACAGTCTTCATTTATTCATACTAATGAAAGAGAGTCATGACTAGTTTCTATATAGTTAAAAGCATTAATTTCCCTTGCACATCTGTATTCATCAAATGCAAAAAGAATCCGTGAAAAATAAACTATGCAGCAGTCTGTCGATGTATGACTAAAGCAAAAAGATTTTCTTCCTCAAGCTTAATATTTTGTTTGTAGATGTGTCTGTATTGAAAGCGACTTTGATGTTGATTTTCTTTGACATTCTCTTTTTCTTTTGAACAATCCAAAAATGCAATTTTGGTTTTCAAGACACGAACGAACAAGTGAAGGACAGTATTGAGCTAAAGTATAGTACGATATGATAGAGTAATAGCATTTTCTGACTTAATCAAACAAATAGCTCTAGCGCATAGCAAGAGAAAGCAACACTCTTCTTTGTTCGATATATGATATTTACTGGTTCTACCGATGAAATTTCGTCAATCGGTTTCCTAATGTACATTGCGCGTTTATTTACTGGAAAAAATTGAATCAAAAGAGACATTGTAGATATGAGTAGTGCATTTTGATATTAATTTACTCTAAGAGTTTCAGACAAAGACGAGTGTTTCAACGGTGAAAACCGCAGCTCTCTACTTCATTTCTATGAAAAGTTATTCGAAAAATGATCAAGGCTTTTCTTTTTTGAAATCAACATTAGTACTAGTGAAAATTCTGATGAATTTCAATAGAATAATGAATCAATAAAAAGAAAACAGAATGAAAATGAATCTAAATCAAAACGTCATCAACAAAAAAAACAACAAGATCAAGATGAAGATTTCGATAACGAGGATGAATATGAAGTAAAGGTTATAGATCCCAATGAAATGCGAAATCGAATGGTACAACATCTTGAACAAATCCGTCTAGCTAAACAAAAATAGAAAAGTAAGAAAAAAAATGTCTGCAATTTTTATTTCAATTATTTGTTTTCAGAACAATCAAAACAGTCAAAAAATCGTAAATCTCTTTTATCACTAGTAAGAAATTTTTTGTTTTCTTTTATGAAACATAAACTTTTATTTTAGGCTGAAAAAGTACCAAAAAGTCGTCTTAATCAAGAATACCAAGCATTAATGAGTGAAGCAAATATCACTTATGCTCATGGTAATATTCAAAAGGCAATAAGAATATGTCAAGAACTGATTACAAAGGGTAATAGCTTTCTTTTTTTTTAATCAAAAAGATGACTGATTTGTTTTTTGTTAGTTCCAAAAACTGCTGAGCCTTATTTAACAATTGCAAGAATTTGTGAAGATCAAAATGATCATAATAGAGCATTTGAAGTAAATGAACTTTTGCTTTTAAGAAAAAATTTTAATATATTTTGCGTTTGAAGATGAGTTTTGTTGCGACTCATTGTCAACGTTCAAAAAATTCATAGGTTCAAATGGTTGATGAATGTCAACAACGTAAAGCTGATGATTTAATAACCGCTTGTTATAATAATAGTAAGTATTATTTTTCATTTCGTATATCAGCAATGAAATCTATGGCAGTTGAGTAACTAGCAAAGATAAGAGATACACATTTAGGCTTCTGTAATGTTATCCAAATGATCGCCTTCTTTGTCAAAAAATGTGTTAGTGGAAGAGCTCTAGATAAAATTAGATATGTCAAAATAAATGAATAGAAATCTTACAATTTTTCTCTATCATCAGAAGAAAAGTATTGAATTGCGAATAATACGGTTTTTTAAATTTTTCATTGAAATTAAGTTGTACTATAATAAAAAGACAACAGGTGATTCTATTCAAATAGAAGCATATAAATAAGTTTATCATAAATACCTAAACAATCATATCTTTCGAATGAATTTTGATTATTTGATCTATCATGATGATTTTATTTTGTGCAGACATGTCATAATATCCATCAGCTGGATATCCGCGAGTTACTAGTCACAATATCCATTGAAATGGATACCCAAAAAAATTGGATACCCTATCTTTAAAAAGTGAGAATTTTTAGTGAGTTTGAAGTAACT